CTGAGAATATTATCAACTTACTTTAATCACTTACCAACCACTACAACTAAATGTTTCTTCCTACTTTCGCCTTTTCTTCAATCTTCGTTATTTTGTAACTAACCAAGTTTCTTGTGCCGTACATCGCATCTACTAACGATTTCGCAGACAACAACCACCACTGAACTTACATCACCACCATCATCATCAACAACCCCTACAACAAGTACCACAACATCGACAATAACATCAACAACACCATCGACAACAACAACAACAACAACAGCAACAACATCATCATCATCATCATCAACCACCACTACGACGACTACCTCGACAACTCCAAGCACAACTACCCAACAAGTACCGTCGACAACGGGCACTAGCACCACAACTAGCACAAGTACGACCACAACCACAGCCGATACAACGACAGCTAGCCTGGTGGTGATATCGACGACAATGCCGGCACCGACCGAACCACCGAGACAGGAAACTGTCGACGTTGACGATTCCGTCGCCGGGGAGAACGCCGAGCGCAAGAACGAATCTGCGAACGCATCCTCGATCAACGTTGATACGGAAACCACGATCCCACCCTCGATAATCCCCCATTCTAGCACCAGCGGGACAACAGTCGATAGAACGAGAACCGAGCTGATCGATGGAGATGGTACTGTTAATGTCGTCACCGACGAGGTAATGCTTCTATGCTTCGAAGCTTCTCATTTGTACAATAGTCCATCGCTCTGCCGCACATTTTTATAGACTCGATCGTAATAATCACCGACCCGGAGTCTTTCGCTTAGCCGACCGATCGCGGTGCCGCAATCCTCAATCTGGAGACCGACTCGAGGTCGATTTGTATTCATATTATCCGGTCAGACACGATAAGACACGAGACACGAGACACAGTTCCGTTCGTTGACGAAACATTAGAGTAGTTATACGAATGTTTCTATGCATAGATATATAGCGTAACCAATCTGTTTAGGCATGGTGCGTAGCCCACAGTGATACTGACATTTCGTGTCTGAATGGATAGTATTATATGGATAGCGTACAAAGGTTACAATGCCGCGACTTATCGGCTAATATGAATCGACCTTTACACGTAGGCCAGAGAATCATACGCGGCCGTGCTTCTGCTTCTTTGTGCGCGGCGCTTCTTCATTGTTTCTGTACACCGGTGCCAGTGCGTTCCGAGTTTCGTACAGGTCGAAAGGGGAAATGGGTGACAGAGACACGTCGCAGCCTCTGCCTAGCTAGCATATTTATCTCGCAAGAGGCGGCTGAATGAGACAAATGGAAGTGAACGAGTTTCGGAGATCGGTAGCTTTTCGTTGCATCGATCACAAAGGATTGTGCGCGAGATTATCCTTTGGCGGAAGGAAGAAGTGTTGCGAGGGAAAAAGGAGAAGCAAGACCCACGATTCTTGGTAGATCCTCTCTCGGATCGATTTTGATTCAACTTTCCTTTCTGAACCATGTCCATGTAAATAGTTGCATTCATAACAGCAACGTTCAAGATGAATCGGTGTTCGCGTAAAGACTAGAAAATTTCGAAAATTCCCGAGTTTCTGATGTTTCGTTCATTTTGAAACAGTCAAAGTAAACGTAATCCGCAGCCCAGCAATCTCGTCTGGTAATGCTTTCGTTTTCCCAGTGTTCAGACGTTTTCTTTCTGCCTCCAGCCAACGGAACAGCCGTCAGTGTCCACGACGAGACAGACAGTTACCTTAGTGCCCGTAAGCAACACCACGCTCAACACCACTACCGTCGCCGTCACTACTCTGTTACCAACAATTGCCACCAACACTTTCACCACACCCATAATAACGACTACAGAAATACGAACACTGCCGACTACCACGATCACCAAAGCCCCGACCACACCCACCACCACTAGTACCACCACTACCACTACCACTACAACCACCACTAGCACCACCGCCACACCAGTAACGACCAGAGTCACCACTGAGCCAACCAGAGTTAACACGGAAACCGTAGAGTACGGGGTCCACAACTTCCCACCTAGACAGGATAGGAGGCTGAAGAAGATTGCGGTGACGGCTGGCAAGCCGTTGAGATACGTTATACCGGTGAACACGTTCAGCGATTTCGAGGATGGCGATACAACGAACTTGAGCCTAAGCCTCTATCTGCAGGGTGCGCCTCTGAAAACCACCCACTGGCTGCAGTTCAATCAGCGTACGCAGGAGGTCTATGGATTGTGAGCATACCCTTGATCTTCTCCTTGTCGCTTTTCCCCTTGTCTTTAAGCATTACGGCTTAGGCACTAAAATCCACTAAAATAGCCAACTGAAATAACCAACACTGTTCTCTCCTCCAGACCATTAGAAAATGATATCTCCATCTGGACCTACGAATTGGTCGCCGCAGACAGCGAGGGACTGAACGCGACTGACCAACTTGACATTCACGTGCAACAGCACAAATTAAGTCGCAGCGTCAATCACGAGTTCAGTATTTATCTGAGAATCGACAAGCGCTCGCGGTTCCCAACTGACGTGGACTGGGAGCTGAAAGTAATGCGAAGCATAGCTGAATTGTACGGAGACAGCGATGCCAGGCACATCACTGTCCGGTTGGTCGACATCGTTCGCGAGCAAGTGATCTTCACTTGGACCAACGATAGTTTACCTAGAAGCAGCGAGTGTCCCAAAGAGTACATTAATGATTTGTTACGTGTAAATATCTCAGGATAGTTTCTATTAGCAACATATAGTTGCCCCACTGGTTTCAACTGGTTCTGATCATGTGTTCGTTATTCAGATTCTAGTCGATTCGAACGGTGATCCCAGCCCGGCACTGACAAATGTCCTGCTCCCCGAGATCACAGTGAAACGGGTGGTGTATCAAGGTATCGGACAATGCGAGGATATGAACCGTCCAGAGCCTCCTAAGGTTTCCACCCAGGAGCCTATGCCAAACTTCCCGCCGATGCCGAGAAACCAAGTGGACCTTATCAATGCTACGGTTGGCAGGCTGTTGGTGTTCAAAGTGCCAGAAGTAAGTTGAAAGTGATTCTCGATAGAACGAACAGGGAACACACGAGGGCACGCTACATATTCGAACGAGATAATAAATGTGTTCGTAGTTGATTACATTTCATTGGTGTACGATAAGCAACGCATGTCCGAACCAAACCACTCATTCACGAACACTAAAACATTTGTTTTAGGACACCTTCTATGACCGCGAAGACGGTTCCGCCCGCAACTTGCGAATGTCTCTTTTAACCATCGACCGCACTCCAATTCCAGCCCACGAGTGGTTGCAGTTCGACAGCAAAAACCAAGAGTTCTATGGTGTCCCTATGCGCAACGACATTGGCCGTAAAGAATACCAACTAGTGGTCACCGACAAAGAAGACTCTAGCGCTACGGATGGCCTAGTGGTAGTCGTACATCCAGCCCCGGTGATGCATCACACTGTAGAGTTCTCGATGACCTTGGATATACCTTACGATTCGTTCGCGCATTCTGCCCTTCAGAAGCGCAACTTCATCGAGAAGCTTCGAGATCTGTACCAGGACAGGGATACCAGTGCTATCTCTTTGCATAGCATATCCAATGGCAGCACAGTGATCACTTGGCACAACAGAACCTTGCCGACGTCGTACTGCGCTCACGAAGAAGTGAGTCGGTTGCGATCGGTACTGGTCAAGAACGACAACGACCGCAGGTCCGTCACCGACGAGGTGCTCGAAGTGATGGGCTCGAAATTCCCCGTGAAACAAATCACTGTGATTCCGATGGGGATCTGTCTCGGCGAATTGACCAACGTGCACTCGCCGGACAATTACGTGCCACCGATAGACGACTCTACCTCGGTTGGGACATTCCACGATGATTATCTGATCACGTTTGTCCTGCCAGCCATAATCATCGCGGCGATGCTCATCCTCGCGGGCATCATCGCCTGCGTGCTCTACAGACGAAGGAGAAGCGGGAAGATGAGCGTCAGCGAACAGGACGACGAGAGGCAGAGCTTCCGGAGCAAAGGAATACCTGTCATCTTCCAGGACGAGCTCGACGAGAAGCCTGATCCAGGTAAATATAGTATGTTGACTTTTGATCTTGATTCTTACTCATTAGCCCGTTTGCCACCAAACTCGCTGTATCTCCGTAAACCGTTTTACACTGTTCCCCTCCTTCGAATCGCTTTCCCGCTCGTTATTCCATTTCAGTCTCCTTGCTAGTTATTACTCGCCTCTCGGTTACGTAACATTTCTACCTTTGATCGTACGCAACTAACGATAGAAATTCCATTGGAAATATTTGCTGGCTGCACCCGAGTGTCTAGGACACTCGTTAAACAATTATTACTCGCGTGTCGCAGGCAATAAGTCGCCGGTGATCCTCAAAGAGGAAAAGCCACCCCTGCCACCGCCAGAGTATCAGAAAACCGAGGATGGAGCGGATGTGCCTATGTTACCAAAGGAGAACTCCGAGGAGCCCTACCAACCACCACCGCCGTTCGCCACGAATCGCGACACCAATCGTCAGAATCGGCCGAAGCCAACCCCCACGTACAGGAAACCGCCCCCGTACGTGCCCCCCTAACAAAATACGGTTCACTCCCCCACGCGCAAGTACATGCTGGCGATGCTCGGAGACTCCCCAATACACACCCAAAACCAAAACAATTATCAGAAGAAACCTCAGGCTGCTGCCGCCGATGACGTAGACGGCTGTGGATCTCTGAACGTATACAGCAATTTGTAAAGCTTTTTCGTTCGTCCGTTCAACAGAATCGGTAAACCCTCGGATATAGAGGATATTCGTTCATCGCAAACAATTCGTCGATATAAATTAGGAATACGCGCGCATACGTTTTATTTACGTTTTATTTACCTTTTACTTACGTTTTATTTACGTTTTATCGTGTACAATGTATTTACTTCAACACACACATATACACACGCACACGCACACATACGAACGCATACAGACACGCTCACGTATACTTTAAACATAGCAAGACACACTCGACTGTCGTTCGTTCGCGGTAATTGTATTTCGCGGAGACTCGAACTATGAGGTCCGCGATACATTTTTTTTTCTCTTTTCTTTCTCTCTCTCCTCTTTTCCTCTCTTTTTCCCTTTTTCCTCTGTTTTCTCTCCTTTTTTTTCTTTTTTTTATACACGCACATCTACATACATACATACATATATATATACTATTTTTTCGTTTTGGAAACCGATGTACTTTTACTGACCGTCGATATTTCACGGGGGAAACTTTTTGCTAGGGAGTTATGGGATACAAATCACGCGTTGCCTTTTCGTAACGAATTCAAACTCATAGAAGAGAGAAACACAATGGACACACTTCGCTCCGACTCCGAGACTTAAGGCGGATTTAGATTTTAGGTTTTACCGGGTATAATAGTGAACCACATCGACACGATGAGGTAATGTTTCGCTTCGTAATAGAGACAGCAACGATACTCGTTAAATATTTCAGTAATCAGTGCCATTTTTGTAAGCAATAAGGCGGAGAGGGGCCGAAACGGTCTCCAATCATCAAAGGACTTAACGACTTAACGACTTAACGAAACTTAATTTTATCGTACAACGTATCTACAACGTGTAACACTGCCAGATTAAAGAAGGAAAACAAGGAAAAACAAATCGAAAAGAACGAAAGAGAATCGATTGTTCGTCGGGTGAAAAAGATGGTTATTCGCCAATCGCGTTACCCATTTTTCTATCTCGTTGTATCGCGAGGGAAAATCGAAGTTCAAACAATGAAATTCGATTGAAAAGCTGAGGCATCCGACAATCGGTTTTTTTTCCGTTTTAAAGAATTTAATATTAGTAGGAACCTTGAGAATTCAAGAGAAAAGAAAACGCAAAGAAAAGCGAGACAAAAAAAAAGGAGAGAAATTTTATTCGACTGTATCTGTTCGCGCAATACCATTTGCAGTGTGACAGCAAACAGAAAATGCTTCCATTGGCACTGTAGGCCGCGCAAAACGAAAATGGGGAAATAACTATCCATTATAAATATGTATATTAACTAATTGTCGTTAGATAAACAGTCTGCAGTCACTTAGGTCAATATTCGTAAAAGCTGTCCAACTCGCAGCATTTACTCATTTCCGTTCTGTTCTGTTTCTTTTCGCTGAACACTTGTACAGAAAGGGGGAACGTAAGAACAAACAAAGGGAAATGAAAAAGAAGAAGAATTACAAGTTTTCTTTTCATTTTCGTTTCTTTTACTTTCTGTATACATTATCTTATTTCTTGCTACGCTTCTCTTCCAACAAGTAAATGGTGTACTTATATTCGCCTGCCGCGTGTTTTCAAGAGCCCCTTGATTCTTATCATGCAGTTCCGAACAGTTTAGTTACTTCATTAATTTAGCCACTTTTGCGCATAGTTACCAAGCCAAAAGATACTTGTTTCACAAAAAACAGAGGAGGTGAATGGTCAAGAAGGCATGAAACTGAGAATACGTGGATGATGAGAATACGACGATGACGTTACACGAGTCCCGTCATTTTTAATTGATAAGTTGTGTACGCGAGAGTGTGACCCGTTAAGATATTTTTGCGCAAACTGTAAAACACACAGGAACAGTTTTATAAAGTCGTTTCTTGTACAATCTCTTCGGAACAAAGCAATCTCTCTGTTCGTAAGCTACTTTCAGGTAACAATGTGTGTTTCCTGAGCTCGATGCGGCCACGCAAAATCATTTTATCGACGTCTCGATGGTTTACTGATATTTTTTTATTAAAAATCCGAAAGAAACACGTGTCGGCGAGGACGAATGAAAATTACTGGTGACAGAGGGTGAATAAAAGTTCCGGAGGTAGAGGAATCAAATGCAACGTGAGATACTTTTCACCCGTATTTTCGAGATTTCGTTCGAATCTACAAATTTAGGGTTGCTCCTATTAATAAATTCGTGTGAATGATGATACGCCGATGTCAGTGTTGTTGTTGTTGTTGTTGTTGCTGCTGCTGCTGATGATGATGATGATGATGATGATGATGATGATGATGAT